TAGAGAGATCGAGAGAGAGAGATTAACATTGTAACATTTTTTATGTTGTCAAAATTTTTAGGTAGTGCTTAATATTTTTGTTAGATATGACTCATATTCATAATATCATTAGACATCAACTTTATAGTATTATCTTTATTAGTTATTGTAAAATTAATGTTTGATATTTAAGAATTAAATCTTTCTCTTTTATTAAATTTATTTGAACTAAAATATATTGAGTTATTTATTTAGATAAATTAAAATTGTTAATATTAATATAATTTAAATTTTTATAATTAATAAGATATATAATTTAATTAATATATTTTAATTTTTAAATAAAATTTAACAAATTTAATAATATTAGATTCTCAATAATTTAATTTTAAAAAAGCAATGTCCTTTATTATAATTTATATAACTAAAATTAATTCTGAATAAATTATTTAAATATTTTAATTCTATTAAAATTAATTGTAGAAAAAAAATATTCAAATAGATTGCGTTATAATAAAATTAATTATGAGTAAAATCAATTATTTAATCAATTATTTTTATAATTAATTATATTCAATTGAAATTCAAACAAGTTATTAACTGTAACTTATTTCTAATAAATAGGCTCAGGGTTAGTATATTATAGGAAGGCACAATTTATGGATATACATATACTAGCCATTTTCATATTCCCAGATTTTGGTGGTCACGAGTCTAGACATAGACTTCATGTTTATCATGAAAAGTGATGTAGTTGTTAATGGTCCCAAACACTGCGCAATTCTCACCAACCATGCCCAGAGGTAACACGCAAAATTGTTAGCTCTTAATTAATATATACCACAGCATGTGAGTTTTACCCCATGGCCTGATCATTTTTCACGCACGCTTTCGCAAATGATGAGCATTCATCCAAAAGTCTAAGTCTCCAATTAAATTATATATTCCGCTTGGGATTGTTAACATTTGTTAAAATCATGTACGGGCTTTGTATATTCACGATCATTCTATTTGATGATGACTGAAACGTCATATAATTTATTAGTTTTTTTCCTCTTCTTCCTGGCCAAAAATAAACATCCACTGCTTCAAATTTGGATCCCTTGCCTAATCCTTGGTAACGGTAACAGTGACTCTCAAAATATGTAGTTTTATCTCCAAAACACATTAACATACTGTGAGACACACCAGTATGAATAACGGGATTTAAATCATTTGAAATTGAGATCTGTAAATTTTTGTAAAGTTTATCTTTTTAAAGAAGAAAGATAATATTTTATTATATTGTATGAAAAATAAAATTAAGAAAATACTCAAAACAGAAAACTTCACAGATATTTTTACTTTTTATATTTTAATTTCAGAGGATTTAAATCCGAATAACGTGACTTATGTATTAGCTGGGCTTCACATCATGTACCATTGTTTAGCTTGTTATTAACTGCTCTCTCTAATCATAATTAATTGTAGATTTAGTTTATTAGCTAGGCTTCAGATCATTTGCCAAGTAGATTTCGTTCCCTCTGAAAAGGCCAATGTTATTGTTGTTGTTCTGGCTTTTGTTTGCGTGGGGCCCTAGATTGGACGTGCTTTGTCTTTTTTAACCTACTATTTTTCAAAGCCCAAACTCATTACTGGCCCAAATGTTTGGGGTCACTTCTTCAGAAAAAGGGCATCTTTATTACTCCTCACCTGACCAGCGACATCCATCAATAATTGAACAGCCTTGAGCGAATATAAACATCAAAATGCGTGAGTGTTTGTGAGAGAGAGAGAGAGAGAGGGATAGAGGGAGCAGGGACAAGAGAATGAGCCTTTAAGACAAATTATTGATCCCGATGCCCAACTATTAATCGATAGAACCTGTCTTGAACATCGATCCTTAAGATGTTAATCAGTACAAATCAACTTTAGTTTGTTTCAATTATCTGCTTGCTTGTTCCCATCTGATTGATCGGATCGGATCATATCATTGGCAGATTAGGTTCCAGTGGCGCATTGGGATTTCCACATGCGTTTCATTTTTGCATTACGAACCCAAGAAATTTATCTGTCCCAGCCGCCAAAAAATCTAAAGAGACAGATTAATTAATTACTCTTATAAATTATTTTTAATATATTTTATTAAAATTTTAAAAAAAATTTTAAATTTTATTAATTTTATTTTACAATGTAATAAGTTTTTACCTTTATTCTTAATAAACATTTTTAAATTTTATTATTAATATTTTTATTCTAAATATTTAATAAAAAAATATAAAAATGAGCATTAAAAACTAACAAATATTTTATAAATAGAATTGAATTTTTTTTAAATTTTTATTTTATAAATAAAATCAAAGGAGGAATTACTGTCATGTGGGTTGTGGTTCCCAATCTGCAAATAATTCTGCCCACTAATCCACTCTGGTGAGTTAGTCACTATCTCTGGGGACCCTCGGACCTAACATTTACAGGATGCAGCGCTCTTTCAAAAATTTACATTCAGAGGCTGGCTTTCATTTTATTCTCTGAGAACCCATAAACCCAAAAGAAAAAGAACAAAAGCTTTTACACAGCACAGAAAAAGTGCCTTTGATTTACTTCCTTCCGCCAGGAATATAAACATTTTTCTTTAACTAATCTTGATTTAAAATATAAACAATTCAGTGCATATATTTTTTTTTATTTTATCTCTTATATTTACTAACTTAAATTTTTATATAAAATTATGTCTCATTTATCATGAAGTGTATTTGTAATTGAAACTAAATATAAAATAGAAAAATAAATATATTTTTACAAAAATAAAAACTTTATTTATGATTTTTTTAAAAAAATTATTCATATTTTATATTGGAAAGAGTATCAAAGTAATGAGTAAAGTTTGGTCTTTGGTGATTGAACTGGACCACCAAATTTAAGAACACCGAAGACCTACAAATTTCAAAAAGTAGAGATTCAGCCACTCAGGCCCTAATCTAAGCAAAGTGGGTTGGGTCCACGCCATGACATTTACGTTTAATTTCTAATCCATGATTTATTAAAAAAAAAAATGTAATCCATGAATACACATAAGGCAACCATTTTGTTGCGAAGATCACACACAAAGAAGAGGGTATACCACTGGAAAGCGTGCCATATTAATTCGTACAAGTCCAAATTAAATCAGTGAAAACACTATGTTTTTATATTACCTAGTTCTGGACGGTAGTGGTCTCCGCAGCATATTGGCACAGATGCACTTTTACCTTAGAAATAATGTATAAGTAAAGCAAAAACAAAGGGCGTATTGTTTTAATGTTGACAAGGAATGGGCTTTTATATGAAAGTTATTGGAAGAATACACACATGATTAGATTGTGAGGTGGTGCGAGCCGGTGTAATTAGAGTTAGAAGCCTCACAAGGAAGTGCCCATCACGCTATATATGATATCATCCCAACCAGTTTCCAATTCATCATGCTCTATCTCTGCAGGTACTAAATTATATGCATTATTGTAGGTTTATATATACAAGTGAAGGATTGTAATTGATGAAGCAATAGTGGGGGAGTGTAAAACCCTAGAAAATGGAGGATGGGGCAAAGCATGCTGAGTGTGACAAAGACCAGACGCTGTATATTCCTTCGAGAAAGACACGGTGGGTCCCTTCCTCTTCAAGAACCACAACATCAAACAAGCTTTGATGTGCGCACGAGTACTTGTGTATTCGTGTGTAACGTAAAGACACCCAACTTTTTTGTTTTTGTTTTTTGTTTGACCTTCTTTGCGTTCTCACACTTCCTAGTCCCTCCCGTCTCACCTCTGCTCTAATTTTTTTCTTTTTTTTGGTGTAAGCATTTACCGGTTTTTTGTCTCACAGTTTCATGCAGAGTTCCAAAAGAAAATTGCGAAAATGGCACGCATTCAGCTTTTCTCTCTCTTTTTCTTTTGAAAAATTGATTTTACGAGTTCACAATTCACAAGGAACAACTTTAATTTACGGGCTGCTTTAATGTCCCGATTCTTCTGCTCATTCCTCTTTGCCTGGCTTTTAACTCAATTAGGTGCTACGCATCTAAGGTGCTTTCTTCTGTTTCTTCTCATTCATTCTCTCTTTTTTTATGTCTCGCTACTGTGACAGTGAACAGAGTTGAAACAGAAAGGATCAAGGACTCTGCTTTTCAATCCTAACAAGCAAAAGGGGGGGGGGAGGGAGGGAGAGAGAGCCGATGATGCTCCTCAAGCCGAGTTTGCCCTTGTTTCATAGAAAAATTACACTGGACCTGGTTCAAATTGGAGTGTCGTGTGCCATCCCCATCAATTAAGTCCTTGGAGTGAGTTTGAAGAATCATCTGATGAGGAACGACTTGTCATAAATCGGTCTGACAGGGAATGAGCAAGTAGCCCAATGAGCACAAAGATTTCATAATCTCAATTATTAATATATACAATCCACGGAGCAAAATTCGAGCAGAAAACTTCAAATACAGTTGGGTATTGACAAGCCAAAAACGGCCAAACACGCCCCATGAAGCACAAATGGCCTTGCCTTTTCCAAACATAAATAATCATCCGTCCCTAATCGACCAACAACTTGCAGTATATAATAGTGGCGGTCTTCGTAATCAATTGACCTTGATTACGGTCTAAACTGCTTTCACAAGCAAAATCTGCATGTCTCTGTTTTCTCTTCCCACATCATTACAAACCCATGTATGCTAGTAAATAAGCAGTACATCAAAGGCGTGTACACTCGCATCATTATGCATTTGATTTAATAGATAGTAAATTGTGGTCACTATCCCAAGTGGTCTCAGCAAGGGAGTCAGTCAAAAAGAGTATTTGGGTTACAATCCGGCAAAAGCAGAGCCCTTTTGGCCTTTTCCCAACATGTGTCCCTGGTTCCCTTTCAAACGTTCCCGTTCAAACTTGCATCTTCAAAACAAGTGAAGGTGCACTTTCGTAATTATCCTCCAACTCTATCCCCTATTTCCTACCCTCATTTCTATTTAAAACTGAGCAGAGGCTCTTCTCCCTCACGTCCATCCTTATCTTTTCTTTCTAATACACATAGCTACTTGTTCATCCTCACCTCTAAACTTGTTCCTTTCTGTTGCCATTTTATTTCCATTCCACAGCAACGTCAAAGTTCAAACAGAAAACTAAGATACTCCCTGACTACTAGCTTTACTTGTGAAGATACAAATCTCTACCTGGTCAGGTCGCCAGGCATGTTCTTTGATGGATTCCTCTGCAACGGAAGATATCCTAGGTAACCCGGGGCCAGTCGCATGATATTTATATTTTGCTTTTGTTAATTATTACAATCCACTGGTTTGTTTTTAATACATTTTTGCCTAAAAAGTGAAGGATGTTAATCATTGAATGGAATGTTCACAGCTTAGGATCCGAGGAGTTGATTGATACGAAGAGATCATCATCAGAGAAGGGGGATCGGGAGATTGAACTCCAGCGATAAACATGGCTCATCAAGCTGAGTCTAAGTGGTGCATCATGTTTATGCGTGTCTTCATAGTGATGACGATGAGCTTTGTGGCGTCCCATGGGGAAGTAGAGGAAGAGCTTCTGTTATCGTTCAAGGCTGCCATTAACGATCCATTTCACTATCTCTCAAACTGGGTCGACTCCTCTTCCACTAGTATCTGCAACTGGTACGGTATCACCTGCGACAGTGACTCCCACGTTGGCGCCATCAACCTCTCCGCCAAAAACATCTCCTCCAATAATATTTCCTCCTTCTCCTCCATATTTCAACTTCCACACGTTGAACACATCGACCTCTCCGATAATCAGCTATCTGGGGGAATCTCTTTCTCTCCCTCTTCGCTTGTCTACCTAAATCTTAGCAACAACAATTTCACGGGTCCTGTCCCATTGTCGTTTTCCCGCATCCAAACTCTGGATCTCTCGAACAACATGTTTTCCGGGGAAATATCTCATCAAATTGGATCGCTTGCGAGTCTGAGGTATGTTGATCTGGGAGGGAACCTTTTGGTGGGAAAGATTCCAGATTCTATCACCAACATGACAGGTTTAGAGTACTTGACCTTGGCTTCCAACCACCTCGTGGGTTTAATCCCTCCAAAAATAGGCTTTATGAAGAGCTTGAAGTGGATTTATTTCGGTTACAACAATCTCTCGGGTGGGATTCCAGAGGGAATTGGAGAACTGAAGAATTTAAATCATCTTGATCTTGTATACAACAACCTCACGGGACGGATTCCCGATTCTCTTGGAAACCTCACTGATCTTGAGTATCTTTTTCTCTACCAAAACAAGCTGACGGGTCGGATTCCCTTGTCCATTTTTGAGCTTAAAAAGCTTATTTCGCTGGATCTCAGTGATAATTTTCTGTCTGGTGAGATTCCCGAGCTCGTAATTCAGCTTCAGAGATTAGAAATTCTTCACCTTTTCTCCAACAACTTGATCGGCAAGATTCCAAAGGCTATATCTTCTCTGCCTCGCCTCCAAGTCCTTCAGCTATGGTCTAACGGATTAACGGGTGAGATTCCAGAAGATTTGGGAAGGCATAACAACCTCACTATTCTGGACGTTTCCACGAACAAACTTTCTGGGAAAATCCCAGATAGTTTATGCCGCTCGGGCGCTCTTTACAAGCTTATCCTTTTCTCCAACTCCCTTCAAGGGGAAATACCAAGTAGCTTAACCTCTTGCACAAGCTTACGCCGAGTTCGTCTTCAGAACAACAAATTCTCAGGTGAATTGCCGTCCCAACTAACTCAACTATCACAGGTATATTTATTGGACATCTCCGGTAACCAACTCTCCGGCAGGATTGATAATAGGCACTGGAATATGCCATCGCTTCAAATGTTGAATTTGGGTGACAACAATTTCTCTGGTGAGTTGCCGACCACTTTTGGTAGCAGAAAATTGGAGAAACTGGACTTATCTGAAAATAGATTTTCTGGTTATATTCCACGTGGGTTTGGAAGCTTATCGGAGCTGATGCAACTGAAGCTGAGTTATAACGAGCTATATGGTGAAATCCCAGGAGAGCTCACTCTCTGTAGGAAGCTAGTGCTTTTAGATGTCAGCCACAATCAGCTCACTGGTCAAATTCCGATGAGTCTGGGCCAGATGCCGGTTCTGAGCTTACTGGATTTGTCGGATAACCAATTGTGGGGTGAAATTCCAGATAATTTAGGCAGAGTGGAATCTCTGGTGCAGGTAAACATATCCCACAACCACTTTCACGGACATTTACCGGCCACCGGAGCTTTCCTTGCCATAAATGCAAGCGCAGTCACTGGTAACGACCTATGTGGTGGTTCCAGTGGTGCTTCAAGCGGGTTACCACCGTGCAGAAAAAGAGACAAGAATCCATGGTTTGTCGCGCTGTTGCTTGTGGTGGGATTTTCGGGGTTTGCATTAGCAGCTTTTATCGTTACATGCTCACGAAGAAGAAAGAGTTTGGAGCTGAGGAGAGTGGAAAGCGAAGATGGTACCTGGGAGATTCAATTTTTCGATTGCAAGTTCGCCGAAGTGATCACCATGGACGATGTTTTATCGTCAGCGCAAGCAGGGAACGTGATCTCCAAAGGGAAGAACTGGGTTTCATACGAAGGGAAGTGCATGGCAAGTGGCATGCAATTCGAGGTGAAAGAAATCAGAGACTTTAATTCAGTTCCGTCGAGCTTCTGGGAAGACGTAGTGGAATTGGGTAAGGTGCGGCATCCAAACATTTTGAAATTGATGGGAGTGTGTCATTCGGGTAAAGGAGCATTTTTGTTGTGCGAGCATGCACAGGGAAACAGTTTAAGTGAAGTCGTGAGGCATTTGGATTGGGAAAGACGACGGAAAATTGCCGTTGGGATCGCAAAAGCACTCAAGTTTCTGCACGCTCGTTGCCCGGTTATCTTGGTTGGTGACATGTCACCGGAAAGCGTTTTAGTGGACGGCAATGACATTCCTCGTTTGAAGTTGAACCCTCCGGCATTGCTGAAGGGTTTCATTTCCTCCGCTTACGTTGCCCCAGGTGAGTAAATTAAATCACCTTTTTAATTTAATATATTTTCTTTCATCCCCTGATACGTAACTTGGAATTAATCGTTCGTTTCCCCATTCATATATGTTTATCATTAATGATTAATTATGCAGAAGCAAGGGAAGGGAAGGAAGTGACAGAGAAGAGCGACATGTATGGATTCGGTGCCATGTTGATGGAAATGGTGACGGGAAGAAGTGCCGGGGAGGGAGGAGAGGGGATGGTGGAATGGGCCCGGTTCTGCTATTCGGAATGTCAATGCGAAACGTGGGTCGGCCCGAGAATGAAGGGAGGGATGCAAAACGACGTCGTGGAGATCATGAACCTTGCTCAGCACTGCACCGCCATGGATCCGATAGCGAGGCCATGCGCAAGCGACGTCGTCAGAGCCCTATCAGCTGTTTCCTGCACAGGCGCTGTTCTCTCTGCTTTTGCACTAGTCTGAACCATCCTTCTCCGTCTATTTTTGATTTAACCTCATTTAAGGTGTTTCTTTCCTCTAGTCTGTCTTGTTTGATTTGGGATATGTGTATATATATGCTTGACATATATATACACTGCTGCCGAGTGTGTGTGTATTCACTAAATGTAAATGAATGAATGTCGTTATTTAAGTTGGTTTCTTTGGAATGAAAAAGAACTCTCACACATGTATTTTAATATAATTTATATTCTCTTCATTTTATTTATAAGATATATTTTAAAAAATTTATTTGATCATATTCATAAGTTACGATACAACTTTTAGATAATATTTAAAAGATATTTTTAAAACTATCTTTCATGAGAGAGAGAGAAAATAATATGACATTACTTTTAAATTTATTATATAGAAACATATTTAATATTTTACACACTTTTATTTTTTTATTTTTTTTAAGGTTGATAGAAATGATTTATAAAGAGAATCGAAAGAGTATTATTTTAATTTTAAAATACAGTTTCTTTTAAAAAAAATTGTTAAAAAATCTCTCCTTGGCGAAGAAATTGTTCTCAAACACCAAGGCAAATTGAAGGACCAGTGCATTAACTAGAAAATAATTGTATAAATGGACCAAAATATACTTATACATTTAGTCTAGTTGCTTCCTCATTGTGTACTGTGATGGAGAAAATATGAAAGAGCGAAACCACGAATAAACACTTCTCTCTCTTCCTCTTTCTTACTTTGTCTCTCCTCTTTCACACTATGAACTTATGTTGTCTGAAACATAGCTATGGTAATTAAAGCCGTCTTCCTTCTCCTTACTACATTTCTTGTCTCTCCTCTACATCCTCTCTATCTTCCCCAACCCCCTCTCTCATTACTCTTTCATTGTTTTGGCCAACTTGCATTTTAAAGGCTTTGAAGCAGGCGACAAAGATGGCTCCGATGATGTTAAGTCACATTCGTTATCAACTTTTCCTTATTATTATTGATAAAAAATCATGTTATTTATCCAAATTACATACTTATTATATTAATTGTGAAAATCACCTAAGTGTGTGATTTGGTGCATTGGGGGCATTTTGGCTATAGGAAAATATTTGAGAAAATTAGTCAAGATACATTTTTAGTTGAGAAGAATAATGATCCAATTAGATTTCTCAAAATCATTTTAGATTGATAGTAATTAATTTTATAAGTTGACAATTTTAAAAAATAAAAGTTTCGGATTGACTTATTTTCTTGTATTTGGGCCAAGTCATTTTTGTGTATTTTTGTACATGTGTGGGCTTACAATTTTTAGGTTATTTGGTACGTCCCAAGGCCTCTTTTGTGATATCATAATTAGTTTTTATTATTTAATTGCATTATGTTGCAATTTTGGAAATTAATTTTAATTGAAAATGTAGTTATTATCCATATGCTTTGAACTTTAATCTTGCGTGTTACATTTATTTGTATAGGTTTGCACCCCTTAGATTTGAGACATGAGAACTATTAGATTGGAATAATAGATGAGTCAAGAGGTAAAATACTTGAGTTTTGAGGTGAAAATACAAGCATTGTATGGTCTTGCACACATTGTACCACATTTTAAATCTCCTCTCTCTTTAATTTTTCATTACCTTTAGCTTTATTTAATTCAACTTTTAGACATTTTTATATGAATTTTTGTCTATTCTACTATGGTAAATAATAAAGTTATCTTAACTCATTTTTTACTCATTTACTTAACACTAGAGTTAGGCCCCTTCACCCAAAACTTGAATCAAACTACCTTAATTTTATTTTTAGCATTCATTCTTTCATTCACTCTTATTTTTGCATCCACCTTCTCTGTTATCTTTTCATTATTTTTCATGTTCTTCATCTTTATCTTTATCTCACCTTCTGTCCTCCATATCTCATAATCCAATCATCAAAATCCCAATCCAACTCCACCATTCTTCTTCTTCCACCTCACTCTTTAAACCCAAAGCTTCATTTTCTTAGTTTAACTTCAAAATCCTCAAGATGTTTATGAGTATGGTTTAACCGTGATGGAAGAATTGTACTCAAGAGTCAAGTGGGTTCCAAGATGACTAAAAGCTAAATCCACAAGAAATGCTAGGAAGGAAGGATACAAGAGGAGTCTTGAAGTGTCTCAAGGAATGATGAAAGTCATGGCCACTCTCTATTAAATCTAAGTTAATATAATCTTATTCTTAAAATTAGGAACACTTTTATATCTTATTTTTATTAACCAAAATTGATATTTAACTTACTGGTTTAGTGCTTTTCCACTTAGTTTCACTTTATGTAGTTGCTAGAATTTTTTTTCAATGCATTGTAATTCATATAAATATATGTTTTATGTGTGTTGAATATGTTTTACATTGGCTAGGTATAAATATGTTTGGTTAGTGTTTGATAAAGTGTCTTGTATGTAAAATTGTGCATTTGGCATAACATAAGTCAGGCTACACTTAAGGGAAACTAAGGGAGATTTTGATCACTTTACACCCAGCTAAGAAATTAATTAGGGACTTGTACAAAATTGTGTAAGAATTTAGTTAATTGTATTAGTTAGGAAGGCACACTTATGCAAAATTATGTAAGTGGGTTTAGTTCGGTCAAAAGAGTGGAAATTAACCTAAGCCTAATTAAAAAAATAGATAAGAAATCTAGCATCCTATAACTCATAGGACTCCATTTTAAAAAAGTTTAAACACTTTCATTTCCATTTCGCTAGTTAATCAGGTTTTTAATTAAATTTGTCCATTTAGTTCAATTAGTAAAAATCAATCAAATCTTGGTTAGTTTAGCTCACTAGTTTAGCTTTGATTGATCTTAGTTAGCCTCCTTAGTAAAGAATGACCTAGGTTGCCACTAGTACTATATTAATGCTAACTTACCTATTTTGGAGTGTAAGCAACATACGCTCCAAACGACCAACCTATCAATCCCACTTCTCTTTGATCACCAAGCTCACCCTTCTTGATTTGGATCCATCCTTGACTTCTCACTCTGATATTAGTCCCCACCTTTAGATCTTCCTTAGACCTTACCCATTGCCACAGGCTTTGATTTATGAGACAAAGATGAATTAAAAGGCTTGGAAGTAGACATAAAGTTATAGGGTTTGTGGGTATTCAAGCTGGGTTTAGATTTACAAGTAGGTATCAAGCATTAAGGAAGACTTGGATGCCTTTAGATTGGCAAGGGCTCGAATGGTATATTCTAGATCCTTTTTTTGAGTTGGAATTTCATTTTTTTCTGAATCCATCCCCTAAATTTTGAATTTTTTACTTGTGATTTTACTGTATTTAGGATCCATCTTATTGGAGAGTAGTTGAACCCTTACCTTCGTATGGTCTAATGATAGAAGTTTCAAGAGGAAGATATCAAAGCTTAATAAATGGATGCAAATTAGAAGATGTGGTCATGGCAAGTTTATTTACTTCATACCAGCTTTTGCCTCTTTCAGCTAATCCTCTTTACAACTTTTCTAAATGGCATTTGCTTCTTCCACAAGGTTTATAATTTCTCTACGTAATTTACTAGGCAATAATGGTACTATTGATGGTATGGGAATGGTTTGGTGGGACAAATTTAGTTCTCATTCCTCAAACTATAGCCATCCTTATTTAATTGAAATTATAGCCTTTGAATATGTAGTTGTTTCAAGTTTTACAATCTTAAATGCTCCTGCATATAGCATTTATCTAGTTTATTACAAGTATGTTTGTGTGTTTGTCTAGACTTGAACGATCTTGCACTTATTTTGGATGAAGTTATACTAACTTGGTTAGACTTATGATATGATGTAGCAATGTAATTATTCAAAATATTTCAATCTATGCTTCTCCAGGTTCACCTTATATTGGTCATATAATACCAAGTTTGTTATCCTTGATAAACTCTTTTGTGATTCATATGCTCAGAGTGACATTAATTAGACAAATTTGTTCACAAGCTTTAGTTTAAATTTTGGTTGAATTAGTGCTTAACATAATGTCAAGACTTGCATGATATCAAATAGTTATAAGTTTACTCTATTATTGAAAATCTTAATATTTGAGGTGAATTGATTCTTAATAGTACTATATTATTCTTAATAGCTTCATAGCTCATGTTTGTGCAATTCACATTTCTAAATTCTATTGATAATGTTTATGTAGAAGATCGTATCATCATCATAGGTTTCAATGTAATTGCTCTTAAAAGTAGGTATGGAATTGCTCATGGGAGGCTCGATAATAATGAAATATTCATATCAGATGTAGAAATAGAGAATATCTATATTGCATTTATAGCCATAGGACATTGTGGCTCTTATCAATATGATAAATTTAATCTTGATGTTCTTTTATAATTAGATTGCATCACCTTATAGGATGCAACTAGCTCAAACATCCCTATAATTGGGAACTTCATTGGGATTCATGTAACTATTATATCCTCTACTATTGGTTGAAAGTGTTGGTGGCTTAGATGTAAAGGAAGATATTACTTGCTTATGAATAGGTGTTTGTTCTAAGTCTATGTAATGAATGTGCATTATTAGCTTATGTTACCTGTGTATGCTTTTTTAGGCACATTTGTAGTTAACTTCTTAATATCATCATTATCATTTTTAGGATTTTCATGAAAATTAAGGACATATGATCCCCAATCATCAACAATTACATGGTATAAAATAGAGTTTCTTGAAATTATAGGGCATATAATCCCTAGTTATCAATAATTACATGGTATACAATAGGTTTTCATGAGAAAAAAAGAGCAATTTCTCAGAAGAGATCAAAATGATGCTGTGACTCCAATAAATCAAACTAAACATATGACTTTTACATGAAAAACATATATTTACATGTAAATATTATATAATATACTTAAAACATTTGACTTTCACGTATTGGCTTAGGATATAAGGCCATAGGTTTACAGTGCAAGGGGGATCAGCTTACAGTGTAAGGGTATAGGCTTAGGTTGCAAGGTGCAATGTGGTAGGCTTTGGGTGCAAGGTGATAGGCTTTATGTGCAAAGGTATAGGCCTAGGGTGCAAGGGTATGTGCTTAAGGTATAAGGTATAAGGTGATAGGTTTGAGATGCAAGATGCAAGCTTATAGGGTCGACGTGTAAGGGCATAGGCATTGACATTTATGTTGCCACTGGTTGTTGAATTTTCATACTCCCTCCGTTCAAAATTGTAAAGTATTTTTAACCTAATTTCACCTCCAATAAAGTAATTAACTA